AACACATTTTTTTTTTTTTTTTTTACTATACTCCAATTGAAGAATTTTCAAGAGTTCATAGCTGTCCGTAGTTTCGTTTATTTTAACGAATATTGTTAACCGATCAACTTAGAGAAGATTTCTAATATCTTGATAAATGTCTCACGGTTTAAAAAATACTCGAAATTTTTTTGTATAAAGCTAATATTAAAGAAAACTGTCCTTTATTTTATTTCTTAAATCCTAAAAATTCCAATTCAATATTCCAATAAATATAAATGTGAATTGCCCAAAATGTAATCGAGAAGACTCTGGTCTTCCTCGATCATCGAAATCGTGCTGCGTAAAATAATTCTATCTATTCAATTACTTGATCCGATGTCGCGGATATCGGCGACTAAAAATAAAAGGGGATCCCGCCCGTGAAATCCTGGGAAGGGGTAAACGGCAGAAGGCAGAAGGGAGATAAAGCCAGGAAACTAAGAGGATACAACAAGTTTATGACGTTCGAGGGAGCACAGACGCTCGAAATCGAAGCTTTTAACGAGAAGTGCAGACTTATTTGACGGTGCAGCGACTGCGGGGCGCCCGCAGGGCCGCGCACACTCTTTCCCTCTCTCTTTCCCTCTCCCTCCTATAAATAGATCCGACACTACCGCGATTGCGGCCCTACATCGTGCGGCTATTTTCGACAAACATCGCCACTCGTTACAGTTCTCTGTACGCTCGCTTCACGACGAGTTTCCATCCTCGGCGGCTCCTCGAACCCGCGAACAAAGACACACAGATGGGCTGTTTACGCCGCGAGCAATAAGAATCGTCCGATCCGTAACGGTTTCCTCGGCGACCTGCTGCTGCTCCACCGCCTCATCTCGAAGACGAAGATTATCATCATTCCTAAAATGAATATTTACAATTACAATTTAGTGGGTGTGTGATATCTACAGTTGATCACGGTGAGAATAAGCGTGATGATCTTAGTGTGATGATATCCGAAAAGATCGAAGGATCTGGAGATATTCCAGCGATCGATTTTTGACGCTTAGAGATCGAAAATTTCTAAATCCAAACGGATAAACTAAATGATTCGTGGATGCCAAATTAGAATAAGAAATATTCAACCAAGGGAATGGTTGAAAAAGACATTGATCAGAATTTTTTTCATCGCTTGTTCAGCAATGGTAACGATTACTCGATACGGAAACAGCAACAGTGCTAGGTAGGAATATTCTACGGATAAGATAGTCGAGGATGTTCAGCTCGTTGAGACTGACCAGTATGCGCTCGCACAAAAATCGTGCCAGGCCAGGAAGCGTGGCCACGTCCGCCAGTTCAGATTCAGCTCGACCAGACGAAATCTCACCCCAGTCTTATTATCCATACAGTTTTTTGCTATTAGATGATCAAGATACTCCTGTATCCACTCCTTCCAGTGTATCCTCCAAAGTTGCCCAAGTAAGGGTGGAACGTGAAGGGGGAAGTCTCGGAGTTACCCTCAGAGGTGGAGTTTCCAGAGCTTTAGTGGTTACTGGAGTGAAGTCCGATGGGCCAGCGGCTAAAGAAGGAAGAGTCAGGCCTGGAGATAGATTGTTAGCTGTAGATGACACTGAATTGAGGGGTCTGACCTTAGCAGAAGCTCAAAGAGCGCTTAGGAGGAGCTCTGATGCCCCTGTAGCTTCTTTGACTATTGAATACGATGTTGCTAATATGGAAGAAGCGAGGGCAGCTACTTCCGGTCCCTTGTTGGTGCAATTAGAACGTGGACTCTCGGGTAATTTAATTTATTCAACTTTTTTCTCTCAATCTAAATAAATAATATATATATATATATATGTTAATTTAATAAATTTATTTGATTGATAATATATGGACAAATTAATCATTTGCTCTTAAGTAATTGCATAAAGCAGATGAAATTTTATTATTTTTACTATAATTGTATATGTAGGAGAATTAGGCCTGACGGTGAGAGAAACGCCAAACGGAGTGTACATTGAAAGTTTAAGACCAGCAAGTACTGCAGATCGATGTGGAGCTTTGCAACCTGGCGATAAACTGTTGGCAGTGGACGAAACTCCTGTCCAGGATGCTGTGACGGCTGCCAAATTACTCAGAAATAATTATGATTCCCGCATAGCTAGATTGCAGATCTTACCTAGACCTCCCAGTGCTTCGCAGAGAACCGTAAAAAGAAGAGCGCAACCGCAGGCGCAGCAGACTTCTAATCAGACTTTGCAGACTACAGAAAGCCTAACTATAGTCCTCAGACCTGATCATAAGGGATTTGGTTTAGCTTTAAAGCTCACCGACGACCGTTTAAATTATATTGTTAGTCTATTAGAAGCTGGAGGTCCGGCAGAACGCAGTGGAGTACTCCTTCCTGGAGACAAAGTGCTTGCTATTAATCGTAAAATGCTTCGAGATCTTCAACCAGCTGAGGTTACTGGTATCTTGGAAACTTCTCAAGTAGTACGTGTATCAATATAAATTATATATAAATTATATAATCCTTTATTCCATTATTTTTATCTTTTTAAAATTCTTAGTAATTTTATACCCAAATCTTAAGCCAAATTATCAAAACTATTTATAAAAATCTATTTTTAGATTAATATTTTAATTCTTAAGCTCAGTTTCAATCTCAGAATCATTTGTAAGTTAAAAATTTCTTTTTATCTAAAAGATGGAATTGGTGATAGAATACAAAGTTGGTGGACCAGTTGTACCTAGTTCAGGAGTATTCACAGTGCGAGTGGCAAGACCTGTAGGCGGGCAGCCTGATGTAGGTCTCACAGTGAATGAAGATTTGATCATTAGTGAGGTTCGCAAGGGATCTTTAGCTTACAGAACTGGCAGCTTAGCACCAGGAGATAGATTACTAGCAATAGACGGGCAAAAACTAGATCCTGGTGATCTCCGACAAGCTGCACAATTGTTACATCGACCAGGAAGCTCCGTTATCTCTCTGACTGTGAGAAAACCGAATCCTATTTCAGAAACAAGGTAATTTAATGATCTAGAAATATGAATTAATTTTCTATCAATTCTTTTTTTAATTTATTTTTTATTAATTTTTATATCTTTTTCTAAAAATCTAAAAGATGAAATGATAGGAGGAATTAATGAAAACATACTGAATTTTATAGAGAGTACTGCAAGGACTCGATCATAGGTAGCGACTCAGTGCAACAATATTCTCCAGGAATTCTTCGACCGGCTAGAGAGAGTCTACCAAGCGTAGATAGTGCAGTGGATTCTTGGGGAGAACTGGGAGAGAATAATGGAACAGGCCCAGAGATTCTAAGGCTTTGGGACACGGCTTCTGTGGATAGTGGACAATTGGAACTATCTATGCCTCCTTATCCTGGGTAAAATATAATAGATAAATAATAAATAAATAAAATATTATAGATAGAAACAGTTAAACAGATAAAATTTATAAAATTTTCTTTAGAATATTTTAGAATATAATTTTTGATTTAAACTTCTAAAAATAATCATATATATTTTTTTTTTTTTAATTTTTAGACCACAAGAATGCAATAATCCAGATAGACCACAACAAATAGTCCATGTCTCTTTGCATAAAGATCCAGTATATGAGGATTTTGGCTTTTCAGTATCTGATGGTCTATATGAACGTGGAGTTTATATAAATCGTCTTCGACCTGGAGGACCGTGTGACGGTGTTTTAAAACCTTATGACAGAATTCTTCGAGTAAACGAGGCTAGCACGGAAGATTGTGACTGTTGTTTGGCTGTTCCATTGATTGCTGCGGCTGGTCCACGTTTAGATCTCACCATAGCACGATCAGTATCTCCTCCTAATATTATAAAAACTCTGTAAAGGAGAGCAAATCAAAGTGTAATGTGGAAAATGGTGGTGAATATATCTGGTATATTTTTGTACACACCTGTATTTTATTTATAAAAATAAATGTATAGATTGCTTTTAGCTAGAACATGTTCTCCTGCATACAACTCACGCATACCATCAAAACATATCATACCAAAACATACGCCTCTAGAACATCATGTATTTAATCCTCTATGAATTATTTCGAAAATTTGTAGAGGAAAGTATAATTGCTGGAACTAATATAATAAGGCACTCGATTCTTGATTCTAATAATTGTGATTAATGGATTTTAATTAAATTAATTTCCAAAAAACTATTTCATGCTTTTATGATATCTAGAACCTCACTGTATTCGTTCCATCAACTATATTCTTATAATTCATAAATTAATATAAATATTATATAAAAAAAAAAATTATTTTAAATAATCCATGTATATAGAAATTTTCCCAAAATATTATTAAGAGGAATTTTCATAAAGGATTAAAATATTGTAACAATTTAACAAATTGATGAAATTGAGTCGTATTACCTATATATCATATCACCTGAGCTAATAGCTGGAGGAAAGTATTTAATTTGAAACCTAATCAATATTATATGAACGCCGTTCGATATCGATCGAGTACGATTGAAACCGGATATCTATCTATTCATTATTGTTTTCACGACGCGGGAATGTCATCAATCTTAAAGGCTAATTGACCCAGCAATTAGCTATAAACATCAATTTTGCAAATTATATATAACCCACCTTGCCAGCAAGTTTATTTTCCCGTCAAAAGCAAGATAACGTAAACATAGAAATGTTTTTAAAATAATCTCGAAAACGAATAAAAAGAAAAACAACCAAATTTGAGTACTAGGCAAATTATACCTTTGTGCAGAATAATACTAATAAAAAATATACACATATATGTATAAATACTTTTGCCATCATATGAGTTTTGATCTGTGAATATTGTTTTAACTAGTATTATAGGATCTAACTATAAGCTTTCCCATTATAAATTCTTCATATAAATAGTCAAATCCTTATGGCTAAAATATCATTCACTGGCAGAAAAAACTCATATGAACTTGTCAAACATAAAATGAATCTAACAATTCAGACTAGACTGCAAGCATCTGTTGTTTTTTTCCAGTCCATCCATTTACCATGAAGGAATTATTACTGTTACCATTACGGTTTTTATCATGATATTTGGGAAGCGCTGTCTGACTTTCTTTTTCTATTCTTTGATCGTATTTGGCTTTATTATAGCACAACACACCAAGAATAGCTAATGTCATTCCAAATATATTCAACCACGTCACTGGATTTCCAAGAACAAACAAAGTAACTGCGATTACAAAGATTCGTTTGCTTGCACTCGCAACTGCATAAGTTAAAGGGGTAACAATAGATAATACAGAAAAAGCAATAATATTTTGGAACCAGTTCAGCACACCATCCAAGAATAACAGGCCTATTATGTAATAACTTATGTCTGCTGATTCGCTAGTAACTGGATCATATATCAATCTCCTCAAATCATATAATAACCATATAGGGGAGAATAATATCAATGCCAAGCGGCCTAAAATAAGCAAAAGTCTTAAATGATGTATTCCTGTGTCATGTAGCACCTGAAAAATTAATATATTATTTATATCATATATAAATCTATCAATATAAGATAAAATTATATCAAAATAAATACCTTTTTAGAATAAATATTTTGCAAAGAGAATGCCATAGTAGATGCTAAGGCACTCAATAAACCAATCATATTGAAACTGAGTTCTGTGAGTGTAGCAACAGCTACACCTATTACAATTGGGACTAAGCTAAGATATACTTTCCAAGTCTGCTTTTCCTTCAATATGATTCTTGAGAGAAATACCGTGAAGAAGGGCATTGTAGCCTTCACTGGGACAGAGCCAAACTTCAGTTAATACATGTGATTTATAAAACCAAAAATAAATAATATATTTATAAACTGTTTCTAAAATACATGCATTTGAAAATTTGTTATGCAATAATTAAAGGAAATCTATATAATTATTTCTATAAAATAAATTTAGATAAAATATATTTTTTTAAATGTTTATTTTTCTCATTAATAGATTATTTATCAATAAAACTCATATTAAATATAAAACTCAAAAATATGATTATCAAATATAAAAAATATTGAATTTCTTATCAGTGAATAAATAAATAAATAAAATCAGCTGATTATCGTTATTATTATAATGTAAGCATTGACATAAAAGTATGCATTAAAATTATAGCATTAATTCTTACATTCTTAGAAAGGAAGAATACTTGTATTATTTTTAAACATATAGCATGCATACACGTGACTGTCAAAATAATATCTCATACCAGTATGAGCGTATGAAACGGGCACTTTCCAAATGCTGACGTGGCTGAACACATTTGCCAAAAATTTTCCTAGAGCGAGTGGTACGATCAACCGGAGATAATATCCCCAGGGAATATCGTTTGAATATTTCCTTACACCCCATAGATTAAAGAATGGGCCTGAATAAATCGTGATCGAGGTTAACTGAACCATAGTCACTGTCATCGGATAGGGAAACTCCGATAACAGCATTTTGCCCACTACATTACTGCTGCTTGAAATCCCATACCAGAGGAGGCACAGGAACAATATGGTAATCACTTCGCGGCTGTTCCGGCGATCGTCCATGATTAGGCGAACAACCTGTATTCTGTTTCTGTATTCTCACTCCATACGTTTATGCAACCAGTTCTCACAATACTCCCAACTAATCGGTATTCGTGGCCGCTGCCACGAGTGGAATTTGAGCACAGCTGGCATTTCTCTCTCCCTCCTAATAAATTTTCCCTCTCTCCTTGCGCAACACTAATAGAACACGTGGCGCACGCTTTAAAGTGAGATTAACAACGATCTATCGAATCGCATAACCTGATATATGGAATATTTACTAATTTGATTTCTGTCAAAAAATATTCGAATTGAAACTTTTTCGCTTCACATTAATTAAATTTTCATAAATAGAAAGTCAATTAAACAAAAATTGATTCATTTCAAAGAATGTTTTATAATATATAATTTAATAATATTGTTTCTGATTGAATTTAATATTAATACATATATATATTTAAGAAGAGAATACAATCATTTCTTAATAGAAATTTTTCAAAAGCATGTATATTCATATATATTTATTTTAATTATCTAATGAAATGCATAGTAATTTCAATATAAAAAAAAATTTGTTATCAGTAATACCAACAATTATCATACTAATTTCTATATTTTATTCAATAAGTTATCAAATATGAACAATGTTTTATGAATAAAATCAAAAAAAAAAATATTTTAATTCTAAATATGAAATAATATAATTTTAATAATATAGTTTTAATAATAATATTATAATTAGTATTTTTTCCACTATAAATTATTATTCTAATAAAAATTAATATATTATTGAAAATTATAAAAATAAAAATAAAAGATACAAAATAATAATTATTTTGAAGTTTTAATTTTACAATTTTGAAGTTTTTATTAAATAATTATATTATATACATATACACAAAAAAAAGAATAAAATAATTATTATATTAAATATTGAATATTGAAGTTATATTAAAGTAAATATTGCATTAATTATAATTAATTTATTATATTTATATATAATTTACTTTTTTTTTATGTAATTTGCAATAATAATATATATTATTACAAGCAATCACTTTATAAAATTATGAAAAACTACGGATTTCAAATCAATAACTAGTAACTTAATTGCAAGAAATATATCAAGGAAAATCTATTGTCGAATACTCATCACGACTTATACCTAATTAAATGGTAAGACTGGTTCAATATAAAATATTTATTCGAATTATGTTATACAAATATATTATAAATATTTATATTTTTTATTATTAATTTATTATAAGAAATTTATAATTTTTCAATTATTAATAAAAGATTATTAATAAAAGAATGAACCGTATATTATTGATTATGAAAATTACTAGAAACATGTTTCATTATTTTCATTAATAGAAATTCATAATTTATTTATATTTAATAAAAGAATAAAAATATTATCAATATTTATTATAAAAATTATTAGAAATTTATATTTTATTGCAGTTAATTCAATATTATAATTAATAAATTTTATTTTTAACAATTTAATAAAATTTAAAATTTATCATGAAATATAAATTAAAAAGAAACTATCTTTGACTAAATATTTAATATATATTTATTATTAAATAGTTTTAAAAACACAAAATAGATGGCAATGGATTTCGATATAGGATGTCCCGTTTTATATAAAGCGGTTGATTCTAATAATATATCGCCGCATTTCAATTTAAATTTTTGAATAAAAGTTAATTGTGCGGTAAAAAATAATTTTTATCATATAAATAATGGTGTATTGTAAAAAATAAGTATTCAATTATTATCTATATAGGTTAAGTGCAACATATTTCAAAACGATTATATATTTTAAAATTTTTTTTTATTTATTATATGCGGAATTTCATAAGTCTTTGAAATTCTGCCTGTGAGTTGAATATAAATGGATTCTCAACATCCACCACCTTTAAAAAAATATCGTAGAGCAACAGATATTAATATTCCCATTTTAGAATGCAAACGGGAATTTAATTTACCTCACAAATTTCCAAGCATGATTAATTCATCCAAATGTAATTTTATACCAAAAGATTGCAAACAAATTATTATTACTAATACAGAAGTACATAATAGTTTGAATGGATTAAATACCAAAAAAACATTAGCTACAAGTGGTATAAAAAAATTGAGAGTAAAAACAAGAGATGGAAAAGATTTAGGAGAAGTTAAAGTACAATTTTTGCCTCAAAAAAACATATTAAATACTCAAAAAATTATTTATAATCAACAGATTAAAAATTATAAAAAAAATAATGCTGTTAATTTTTCTGTAACTTCAAAAGATAATATTAATGGATTATTGAAGTCATTGGGATCTTTATCATATGATAAAGACTTACAGAAATTTCCTACAGAAGCACAACATTGTGCTGTAGAACCACAATTCATTGTAAAAACTATAACTCCTAGAGAATTATCAATAGCTATTAATAAGAAATCGGCTGAAATTCAAAATAAAAATAAGAGTATATCTAAGAAACAATATATTTTAGCCAAAGTAAATGAAATAAATGAAAATGATAAACTATTATTATTAAATAAGAATGAACATAAATCATTATATAATAATTCAACTGCTCCAAAAACTATGCAATTAGTAAATAATAATATAACATCAATAAACGAACAAAAAAATGAAGCTTCACTTAAAAAAGAAGAATGTATTTTCAAAAGTAATAAAAAAAATATAATAAATAGAAATAATAATATAATTATAGAATCAGAAATCTTGAAAAAAACAAATATATCAAATCTTAAAAATTCAATGACTCAATTAGCAGAATCAAAATTTCCTTTGGTAAAATGTGAAAAGTTACCAATCTCTAACAAAACTAAAGTTAATGTCAATAAAATTTCTTTGAAAGCAACTAATAAAAAACAATGTTCTAATTTAAATATAGATAACTGTTCTAATATTCTCTCTTCAGAAAAAACCTTTAAATCAAAAAATAATATATGTGATTCAAGAATTAATGAAAACAAAAAATATAAAACTATTATAAAAAATGGTACAAAAATTGTAAAGAAAAACTTTAATAATAAAATTAGTGATTGTAATGAAGATGATATTATAATCATATGTGAAAAAAATGCAATTTCTAATAATGCACAAGAAGAAAATTATATTCCTATAAATAATAAAAATATAGATAAGAAAGCTCAAAGTATATTTAATGAAGTAAATAATAAGTTAGATCTTTGTGAAAATAGAATTTGTAACAATAATAATATATTAAATAATGATTCTAAATTTGATGAAACAAATGTTAAAGAGATTAATGATAACATGAAAAAAGAAAAATTATTAAAATGTTTAAATATAATTAAAGAAGCATTGAGTAGTATAAAAGATGAAGAATTACAAATTAAAGCTTTAAATGCCCTTGCAGAATGTGGCATAGGTATAGCAAAACAGATTCCAATTACTCCACTTGAAAAATTAAAAACAGTTCATGATTCTCAAATTCAAACTGATGTATTTGGACTTCTTGATATGAAAAGTTTTATATTAGTGAAAGAAGATATGCCTGCTTTAGAAAGAATAAAACAAATAGAACATTCAACTATTGATTTTCTTCCTATTATAAAAGAAGTACAAACTCAAACAGAAATAGAAATACAACCTAAAACTAAACAAAATAATAATATGGATTTAATTCCTACATTGTCTTCAGTATCTTTAGAAGATACATTAAATTTAGAAGATTACTTTAATAAACACTTTAATGACAATAATGATATAAACAGAATAAAAAAAATATTATCAACACCACATTATTTATATAAGAAAGTTTCTATGCAAATAGAAAAAGATTATGAAGAAATGCAACATTGGGATAATAGTGGGATGTTAAATATACATCGAGCTGTACTAAATAATCAGCTGCATGAATTGCAAAGACTATTATTAATTTTACAAGCATCAAAAACTAATATTGATGCATTAACAGAAGATGGAATGGTAAGTTTATATTTATTTATTAACATAATTAATGTAAAACAGAAAAAAACTCTTTCATATTTCTTATTATATTTTCAGACAAGTTTGGAATTGGCAATTAAGTGCAATGCATCTAATGATATAGTGGATCTTTTATTAAAAGCTGGAGCAAAACCAATTTCATTAGAACTTCTTCATGAATCTGCAGTAATCATAGCTAGTAAACAATCATCTCCATTTTTATTACAGTTATTAAATTATATAATAGATCCTAAGCTACTTAATCGAGTGGATTCATCAGGTAAATACTATGATGATAATAAAATAAAATATTGAATCTTCAATTATGCGTTTTTAAAAAGTAACGAATGAATTAAAATATATTGATGATTTATAATTTTTAAGGAATGGCTCCATTGCACTATTGTGCATTAAATGGCTACATAGATGGAGTTAATGCATTAATAAAAGGTGGAGCAGAAGTGAATCTAAAGGATAATCGTTCAGGAAGAACACCATTTTTTCATGCTCTTGAAAATAATCATGTATTAGTAGCACAAAAGTTATTAGAATGTGGCGCTATTGCGGATTTACCAAACTTTTCCGGACAATCTGTTTTAACTTTAGTGGACGAAACAAAAAGTTTTTTATTTAGGACTGTGCATAAGCAAATAGTAATTTAATTTTCAATATTATGAGTTTATTTTAAATCTGAGAAAATTGTAAAATTATCTTTTTATTTTATATATTCCTTTTCATAATTTGTTAATTCTTATTGTTCTATAAACTCTTTCTTTTCTGTCTTTTTTTCTTTTTTCTTTTTTCTTTTTTATGTAATAGAAATATTCTCAAATCTGAATTAATATAATTTTTGACAAATCTAATTTCATAATAATGCCAATCATTGTAATCAGATATTATTATTTCTTAAATTTTAATGGACTAATAACATCACAATTTTTTATAAAAATGATAATTAAAAATATTTATTGTTAATTCATATAAAAATTAAAATAATATATTCTAAAATTATGAAATTAATTGTATATTGCGCATATAATCATATCCTGATTTACTTCCGTCGTTAACTATTTATATCGTGAAATAGTTATATATATTTTTATATTATACTATATATTTTATTTATGAATATATACTAAATTGTACAAAATCATTTTTATTAATTAATTAAAATTTTTATCATATAAATATGTATAAACATATAAAATATCTATACATATTTTATATTCAC